GATGAAGACTCATTCAAGGTGGTCATCAGTGACGCTAATGTGAGCAATATAAGTAGAGGGGTTGGGTCAGAATGAGGAGTGCAGAGAGAGGTTAAAGGTAAGGAGAAAGGGGAAGAGAGTTGATAGGGGCATAAAGGTTGATGGAGTTTTTGTCTTGTTCATCTTCACATTCTCAGCATCTGCAACAATGCCTGGCAAACAAGTGCTCAGTGTATGTTTGTTACATAAGATGGGAGAGAACGGGATCAGGAATATAGGTTTATGATTCCCCTTGAATAAAAAGAGAGAAATACCCTTTCTTCTGAGGCAAGGAGGAGATAAAATTATGTATGATAAATGCAGCTATCCTTTACTGACCACTTACCATGTGCCAGGCACTGTCTTGTAAGTGTTATCTCATTTCACTTTTGTGAAACCCCTTTGACCTTTGAAGTAGTTACTATTTTAACCCTAATTTACCTGTCAGGAAATTGAGGTTTATTGAAGTAAAGCCACTTGCTTAGGGCAGGAATAGGGAAACTTTCTCTGTAAAGGGGCAGATAGTAAATATTTTAGGCTTTGTGGACCACAGGGTCTCTTACAACTACTCAACTCTACTATTGTAGTGCAAAAGCAGCTACAGACAATACACAAATGAATGAGCGTATCTGTGTTCCAGTAAAACTTTATCGACAAAAATAGGCAACAAGCCAGATTTGGCCCTTAAGCCATAGTGTGTCAAGTCCTGGACTTCGAGGGTCACATAGTGGTAATTAGCTAATTGATGATGGAGCTAGGATTTGAACCCATTTTGGGGGGAACCTGTAAGCCTATATGCCTGGGCACTGCTACGTTATGCTGCTTCTATCACATACTTTTCTTCAGTTTAATCCACTTTAAAAAACAGAAATGTATTTACCTATACTTTTATAAAACTTTTTAATGGATTTGGTATGTGCAACTTTTGGATGATGAATACCAAAAACTGGAATATCCTCTGATTTCTAGACTGGCACTTTTACAGTCAGAGCTGGTACAGAGTAACATAGTTGCTGACATTAATAATAGAAGGCCAGAAATAAGAGAAGATGGAGGTATTTCAATGGTCTAAACTGCCCCTAGGATAAGCCTCTCACGCACTTGGCCAGGGCTCATGTAACAATTAACAAAGACAAGAGAAAAGAACAGACTTTCATTCCCACTGTTGGTAAAGAACCTTGCATATCAAGAGGGAATCGATAACAATCTCACTGGGAGCCAGTAAACCCGTCGGCCTTTATCTGTAAGGCTGTTGCTGCTGCAGCTTGACTGTTCACTCTGTCTAGTATCTCTTCTCTCTTCACTTCTCATTGAGAAAATGAAAAGAGAGGTATCCTCTTTAGTGGATTTTAGTGAAAGCTGGGTAGGATGAATTATTAGAAAGTACCTTGGAAGTATGATTACATTACTTATTTTGTGTTCATTTGCTATAGCATATTTCTCCAAAAGTACTAAAAAAGACAGTATGCAAATAACTTTCTGAAACTATTCTAATAACATTTCAAAAAGTCATTTCTCAATCAAGATATTGAGATATATTGTGAATTGTCACAAACTGTACAAAATAGGGAAGGAAGCATAATATGGAGAATAAGTATCTTAGCAAAGTGGTCTGTATGGAAATATGCAGATAAACTCAGGGGACAAAGAACTGTCTAATTCAAAGGTCCTAATTTCGTAGTTCCTAACCGAACTGAGGGCCTGCTAAATCTAGAGAAAACCAAGCTTGGAACAGGAGGAGGGTCATCATCCCTAAACATAGTCCTGCTAATGGCCCCAAACCTTCAACTATGCTCATTGGAAGGTTGGCATTTCTGGTGACTGGCTTGGCCATTCTCCACACAGGATCAATATCTTGATGGATTGACACAAAGTTCAAGAGCTGCAGGGAGCAAGGAAAACTTTATCAGCCTTATAATCTGGACTTTCCGGCTTCAAACCAGAATATGCCCCGTAAGATTATCAAGGCTACCTCTGTGAGGAAGAGATTTTCAACCACTTGAGTTTAAGATTGGCTGGCCAGCAGGATGACTTGTACAGACAACCGCAGGGACCTGCATTACTTGCTAGGAGCGTAACAGTACTGTGGTATATTCCTCTAGTGTTATGGAAATTGGACTCTTTTTTTTAGAGCTAAGGATATCTAAGTGTTTGATGGTTTTTGGATTAAAGATATATAAATATGGAAATGGTTAGTCAAACCAAAATAATATAACAGCTATTATTTATTGAACACTTGGGATACATCAAGAACTATGCCTGGGATTTCATATGAATTTTTTGTTTAATCCTCACACCAATCTTAGATAGCAGGAATTATTATTGTTATTTTCTTGAGATGAAAAAAATGAACTTTGGAGAAGTGACACACCTAAGAGAGTGGTGGAGCTAGAATTCAGGCTCAGGAGTCTGCCTCCAAAGCCCACAGGCTTCATCACTGAAATGTGTGGCCTTCCTGACTCCTGCCAGTGTGGTTTTAAGAAAACTAGGGTTTTCTTAAGAAAAGAATGTTTTTGTTTTCTCAAGAAGGAATGCTTTAAGAAAAGAATGTGTATTTAGAACTTTGTAGCCCATTGAGCAGAATGTAGTGTTTTTGGTTCCTAACTCTGAATGTACCCGGGGCATCTGTTTTTTTAAGAGGACTTGTTTCAGCCCAAACAAGGAAACATCTTCCAGTAGTCACCAAGTGCTGTAAGCTAGGAGTGAATGACAGTATATGTCTTCTGTGCCCGCAGTTACGGCTAGATGAGGCTCAAGAAGCAGAATGCCAGGCCTTGAGGCTACAGCTCCAGCAGGAAATGGAGCTGCTCAATGCCTACCAGAGCAAAATCAAGATGCAAACAGAGGCACAACATGAACGTGAGCTCCAGAAGCTAGAGCAGAGGGTGTCTCTGCGCAGAGCACATCTTGAGCAGAAGGTATGAGTGTTCCTGCGGGTCCTGTCCAGCCGGGCGGAGGATGGGGCACGGCCTAGGGAACTGCCATTTATTGAGCCCTGCCTGTGTACTGGGGGATTAAACTAGGCACTGCTCACTTATTATCTGCTTTTATACTTTTAGTACCCCTGAAAGGCAGGCATAATCTCCATTCTACAGGCAGGATACGAAGGCTCAAAACGGTTAAGTTACTCGCATAAATCTGATCCCACAGCCTAAGCTCTGTCTCTTACTCTGCTAGGAAACCCTCCACCTTCACAGCCAGAGGAATGACATGAGTTACTAGGTGATGACATGACATATGAAAGGTACTATGAGCTGGCATGGCTGCTAAATGGCATGAGGAAGCCAAATGCCAATTTGGTTTTTATTTTCAGCTATTTCTAAACCAAAAGAAATCACTAACAGGGCTCTTTAAAAAAATTAAAATGAAGAGAGACTGATACTGCCATACATAATAAATGTTATCATAATTGAAATATTCATTGCTTTAGATATTGCTGAGGAAAATGAAGTAGAAAAGATTTCATAAAGCATCTCAAAGCTGTTAAGCATTTATTTGCTTACCAGTTATTTGTGCTTTCTATTGGTAGTTCCCTGAGACCAACGTAAGAGACTATTTTCCCTGCTCCTGTTCTAGAATTAAATTGCTAATGACCCAGGGGACATTTGATTCTCCATGGGAAAGTGGCACAATCTAATTGTGCCTGAGTGTCTTTTAGCTTCTCCTGGGCTATCTCCTGCTGAGACAGGACACTGACCTAGATCAGGCCAGCTGCTTGGCTTGCTAGAACGGTAGTGCTAGCCCCAGGTGGGCCCCAAACATTCTTATTCTTGTGAGCAAGTTTTAAATATAATGGATCAGATACGAGACATTTATTCCAGGACTCTCCCAGCCTGCCCCAGTCTAGTTTACGTTTAGTTCCTGCGTGTTTGTATGTTACGTGAGTGCATGTATGTGACCTGTGTGCATGTGGGTGCCTGTTGGGAGATCCTTTCCATTAAGAACTGCTCACTGTGCTTATTTCAGATTGAAGAAGAGCTGGCTGCCCTTCAGAAGGAACGCAGCGAGAGAATAAAGTACCTATTGGAAAGGCAAGAGCGAGAGATTGAAACTTTTGACATGGAGAGCCTCAGAATGGGATTTGGGAATTTGGTTACATTAGATTTTCCTAAGGAGGACTATAGATGAGATTAAATTTTTTTGCCATTTACAAAAAAAAAATGAAAACAGAAAAAAATTCAGACCCCGCAAAACCACATTCCCCATTTTAACGGGCGTTGCTCTCACTCTCTCTCTCTCTTACTCTTACTGACATCGTGTCGGACTAGTGCCTGTTTATTCTTACTCCATCAGGGGCCCCCTTCCTCCCCCCGTGTCAACTTTCAGTGCTGGCCAAAACCTGGCCATGTCTTCTATTCATAGTACACGTCACAGTATTGATGCGATTCAAAATGTTTCAGTGACAACGTTGGAGACAGTTTTAACAAAACCAAGAAACCAACAACAAGTGGATGTATATTGCTTTAAGCAATCACTCATTACCACCAATCTGTGCAAATAAAGCAAAAAAATAATAATAAATGCCAAGGGGGAGAGAGACACAATATCCGCAGCCTTACACCTTAACTAGCTGCTGCATTATTTTATTTTATTTTATTTTTTTGGTATTTATTCATCAGGAATTAAAAAAAAAACAAAGTTTTATTAAAGATTGAAAATTTGATACATTTTACAGAAACTAATTGTGATGTACATATCAGTGGTGACATATTATTACTTTTTTGGGGATGGGGGGGTGGGAGGGGTGAAGAGATCTTGTGATTTTTAAGAACCTGCTGGCAAGAGTTTAACTTGTCTTCAGCATATTCTGATTGTATCATAGTCATTTTCTGCTGTTGCAGAGGATGTGAATACACTTAAGGAGCTCACAGAATCCCAGTAGCACAAATTGGGCTTTGGCAAATCGTGTATTTTGTGTATAGAAGGAATTTAAGGAGAGGTATTACTTATTTTCATATTGTATTTTAACTGTTTCTCTGATCAAATTTTTTTACTTCCTCCTCCTATTCCTCCCCACCTCCCTCCTTTTCCAATTCAGTATTTGGAGTTCAACACTGTCTCTCAATCAGATCATCTTGATCTTTTTCTTTATTTCCCTTCCCCTCCCTAAGTCCCATATCTTGGTCATAAATATTGCATTATTCACACTTTCAAACTGTGTATTTTCTTACAATAAAAAATGATGAAAAAAAAAAGGCTTTACTTCTTTTGCATGCACTTTAAAAACAAAAACAAAAACATTTTTCAGGTCCCAAGGAAGAGCATGATAACTGTCAGAGCTTTTAATTATATTTGTAAATAAAAGTGTTCATCACATCGCCTTGCTGTGTTATTGTAGCAGGAAGTTTCCCTTCTAGGTTCACCAGTTCATAATCCAGAGGGAGAGCCGCCCTCCAGAAGCTGTTCTCCATGGCCTCGGTTGCTCCAAGAAGACCTTTCAAGATTTTCAGGTAAAGATGTGTCTTCCAAGTTCTTCTACAGGGCTGAAGATCGTGATCAAACAGATAGACTGTTTGAAGTGGTCAACTGCACCTTTCTGTCCTTAAGAATAGGAAAAGGCACATGTGCATGCACGCACACACACAGACACACACGCACACTGCAATGTGCCAGTCGTGCGTAGGAGCATGTATTGCTGAGGAGAGAAGCTGGGCACCCTTAAATAAAAGCAGGCTATGAAGAAGACATTATAACCAAACATTTGAAATGATCCCACTGTAATAGCAGATCCCTCCTTCCCTCATATTCTGCTTTTATTAGAATAATTTTATATGCATAATAAGGAGATAGTAAAATATATAACTTCTAGGATATGGTTTTGGGGTCAAGACAATCTCAGTAAGATCTCATATTCTTAGGGTTCTAAGTCCTGGACATTGAAAATTGCTCTTTAGGACGATGACCTGAAGATCATTCTTGTATCCTACAGGATGTTCAGTCGTCACAGACAAATGTGACCAGTCCTATTCACTGTGATAGACTAAAGCAGAGAGGTATACTCAAAAACTTACAAAGCAATTATCAACATGGGTTAACCCCAACCACAAAGGCTTTAATAATTACCACCCAGTTTCCTAAGCAACTTAGTTCATTGAAGTTTCTATATTAGGTAGATCAGAAAATAGTATTGGAAAGGGCTGGAAAGACTCATAATTATCCAGAAAAAATAGCTAACGTGTATTGCCTGCTTATGCTTATCATGTGAGGGGACACTACCTTAAGCATTTTCCAGATGGGGAAATAAGCTCAGACCAGGGTAAGAGGTGGTGAAGACCGAATCAAGACCTGATTGAGAACCCACACTCCTAGGCACAGGTCATACTGCCATTCAGAAAAACATTCAATCTTCAGGAAGGCAGAAAAACTCCCCTAGTCCATCTCATCCACTTTTCTCTGTAGTGAAAAATGTCTAAGCTAGCCTGTGAAAAGGCCTTCTGCCTGTGAGATTATGGGGGCTGATCTTTATAAAAGTTCCCTCTCCACAAGTTTGTCAGTGATGTGTCCCAAGGTAGAGTTACCAGAAAGAAGGAATGTGGGTCCCTGGCCCTAACACCTGGTACAAACTGAGTCTTTCACTTCCTTCTAGTGCCTTCATGAGGAGGCAGTGAGAAAAGACAGGGACCAGAATGGCGGCAAGAGATCAGGTATGAAAGGTGCTAGGACAGCAGCAAAGAGCCAGTGTCCTGTATTTGTCCAGCATACACTAGACTCCTGAGTTAACAAGAATTATCACAGGTTTATCATGCATATCAGTAAGGGCTGCTTACCTTTGATTTGCAATTATTCATTCAGTGATATTTATTGAGTAATGTGTATATCAGGTGCCATGCCAGATGCTTGAGATACATCAATGGGTCTTAGGGAAAGATCCTTGCCCTAATGGAGCTTACATTAGGGGTAGGAAGAAACTGATAACACAATAATTATAATAAGTAAATGACCTTACATGGCAATAAGTGCCATAGATAAAGGAAAAGTAGGGAAGGGTGGGGAGATCAGAAGTGCCAAGATCAGCATACATTCACTCATTCATTCAAGAAGTATTTATTTAGCATCTACTGTGTGCCTGGGCATGTAGCGGTAAATAAGATGGAGGGGTCACTACTCTGCTGGAGTTCATGCTTTAAATCTCCACTGAAACGGAAGTCGGTCAGCAATGCACTAAGCTAATCAATGGTAGACTAAGGGGCCGTGACAGTGCAAATGCTGGGTGCCGCCAGGAGTTCAAAGGAATGCAGCAATTACAGAGGGGGTCCGAGAATGCTTACCAGTGATGTCTAATTGAGGAAAAGTTTATTTCTTGATTGTGCCATCATCTATCTGTAATTACTTGTTTACATATCTATTGAAAAAGTATTCCTGGGCAACTGGAAACATGCCATGTAAGAATTCCATATACCCTTCTGATTTTAATTTAGTGATATATTTTGCCATAGAAATTATAAGAACTAAAAAATACATTTTTATTCCATTGTGGCAGAGCAGTGTTAGTCTTTCCTGCTGATTACAACTAAAAACTAGACAGAATGCAAAAGCAGCTATCTGAGGACAGCGAGAAATAAAAGCAGGTGGACTGTGGAGAAGCAACCCACACAGAGGAGTGAAGGCGAAGTAAAACCCTTCTCAGGTGAACAAAAAATTGAGAGAATTCATCGCCAGCAGACTTACTCTGCAAGAAATGCTGAAGGAAGTTCCTCATACTGAAGGGAAATGATACCAGGAAACTTGGATCTCTGGAAATGAAGAAAGAGCAACAAATGGTAAATATCCAGATAAATATAAAAGGCTATTTTTTCCCTCTTCTTTAAAATCTATTGAAACATATATGTATATTTAAAATATATATTTTGTTGGAAGCAAAAATTATACCATTGGTGAGGGTTGCAATGTATGTAAATTAATCGATATACAACTATAACAAAGTTTGGGGGATAAGGACCCGTGTGGTTGCCATGCTTCTACATTTTATGTCAGGTAGTACAATTTTTATTCTAAGTAGACTATGAAAAATTAGTTATATATATTGTAAACTCTAGAGCAACTACTAAATCAAAACGAAAATCCAAAGAGGTAATAGCCTAAAATCCAATAGATAATTTAAAATATTCAAATGATCCAAAAGAAGGAAGGAAAGGGAGAACAGAGATACAAGGAAATAGAGGAGCAAACAGAAAACATATAATAAAATGGTAGACCTGAATCCTACCATATCAATAATTACCTTAAATATTAATGGTCTCTAAATAGTCCAGGTAAAGGCAGAGATTGACAGGGTGGATAAAAAAAGGACCATATTTGGGACCAGCCCAGGGCATAGTGGTTAACCTCAGCACACTCCACTTCTATGGCCTAGGTTCACGGGTTTGGATCCTGGGCACAGACCTACACCACTCATCAAGCCCTGCTGTGGTGGCATCCCACATACAAAATAGAGGAAGGTGGGCATGGATGTTAGCTCAGGACAATCCTCCTCAAGCAAAAAGAGGATGATTAGCAACATGTATTACCTCAGGGCCAGTCTTCCACCAAAAAAAAAAAAAAAAGGATTATGTGCTGCCTATAAGAGACAGGCAAAATATACACAGATAGGTTGAAAGTAAATGGATGGAAAAAATATGCCATGCAAATGGTAAGAAGGCTGGAGTGGCTATTTTAATATCCAGTCAAATAGACAAGGAGTATTACCAAAGATAAAAAGACATTCATGATGAGAAATGGAGTAATTTTTCAAGAAGGCATTTTAAATGTATATACACCTGATAACAGTACCTAGAAATACAGGAGTCCAAAATGGACAATTAAATGGAGAAATAGAAAACAAAATTATAGTAGGGGATATTAACTCCCCTCTTTCAGCAACTGGTACTAGACACACAAAAATAAGAAAAGACATAGATCTGAACAATACTATCAACCAACTTAATTTGACATTTACAGAACACTATATCCACAAACTTCAGAATATACATTCTTTTCAAATATACGTGATATATTCACCAAGCTAGATCATATGCTGGGCCATAAAACAAGACTTAGTAAATTTAAAAAAAATCAAAATCATACAAAATGTACTCTCTGACCAAAAGAGAATTTTTAAGAAATCAATTACAATAAAATATCAAGGAATAAAATATCTGGAAATTAAACAACACACTTCTAAATAAGAGAGGTCAAAATGAAATCACCTGAGAGGAGCCGGGCCAGTGGCGTGCGTAGTGGTTAAGTTTGCACATTCCACTTCAGTGGCCCAGGGTTTGGAGGTTCAGATCCCAGGCACAGACCTACACACTGCTCACCAAGCCATGCTGTAGCAGCATCCCACATACAATACAGAGGAAGACTGGCACAGATGTTAGCTCAGGGCCAATCTTCCTCACCAAAAGAAAAAAGAAAAAAAAGAAATCACATGAGAAAATAGAAAATATCTTAAACTGAATGACAAATACAACATATCAAACTGGTGAGATGCAGATAAAGCAGTCCTTAGAAGGAAACTTAAGCTTTAAATTTACATAAGAAGAGAAATCAATGAAATGGAGATCCACCTTAAGAAAAAAGGAGCAAAGTAAACACAAAGCATATACAAGGAAAGAAATAACAAAGGTAGGAGAACAAAGCAATGAAAGAGAAGAAGATAAACAATACAGAAACTAACCAAGCCAAAAGTGTATTCTTTGAAAAGAACAACAAAATTGGCAAATCTCTGGCTAGACTTATCAAGAAAAAACAAATCACCAGTATCAGGAATGAAAAGGGGGTTATCACCACAGATCCTAAAGACACTAAAAAGATAATAAGAAAACTATAAATAACTTTATGGCAGCAAATTTGACAAAGCAGATAAAATAGACATTTCCTGAAAAATACAACTTAACCAATATTGATGCAAGAAGAAATAGAAAGTGAATAGCCCTCTATTTAAAATTTTCAATTTGTCATAAAAAATTTCCCAAAGAAAAAATTCTAATTCCAGACAGTTTCACTGGTGAATTCTATCAACATTTAAGGAAGAAATAAAATAAATCTTACAGAAACTTTTTCAAAACATAAAGAAGGCAGGATCACTACCCAACTTGTTATAAGTATATGTAATATCAAAACCTGACAAAGACTTTACAAAAAAAAAATCCCTCGTGAATATGGATACAAAACTGCTTAACAAAATGTTAATAAATTGAATCCAGCGATATTTTAAAAGATTGGTTAATACACAATGAACAAAGTTTATCTCAAAAATACAAAGTTGATTTAACATTTGAAAATCAATGTAACCACCATATTAACAGAATAAGTGTGAAACCCATATAGTCATTTCAGTGTTGAAAAAGCATTTGATAAAAATTCAACATCCATTCGTTTAAAAAAAACAAACACTCCCAACAAACTAGGAATAGCAGGAAATATCCTCAAGCTGATAAAGGACGTCTTCGAAAAACCTATAGCTAATATCATACTTAATAGTGAAAGATTGAATTGTTTCCATCTGAGATCAAAATCAAGGCAAAAAAACGTATCCACTTTCACCACTTCTATTTATCATTATTCTGGAGGTCCTAGTCATTGAATAAGGCAAGAAAGACAAAAGATTAGAAAAGAAGTAAAATGTCCATGTTTGTAGATGATGTAACTGTTTACAGAGAAAATCCAAGGAATCTATCAAACTGCTAGAGCTAATAAATGAATTTAGCGAGTTCACAGGATGCAATTAATATACAAAAATCAACTTACTTTATACAAGCAGCAGACAATGGGAAATGAGGTTTAAAAAACAGTTGCATTCACAGTTGTTATATTTGTATGCCAAAAAAAGTAAAATACCTAGAAATAAATCTAAAAAAGAGTTCTAAGATCTCAACACTCCCCCCCCCAAAAAAAGCTTAAATTTAAAACAACCCAAATAAATTTTTAAAAAATAAGCTATGTACATGGGTTGGAAGACTAATATTGTTAGGACATCAATTCTCCCCAAACTGATCTAGAGTCAATGCAATCCAAATCAAAATTTCAGCAAGCTTTCTTGTAGAAATCGACAAACTGACCCCAAAATGTAAGTGGAAATACAAACAACATGGAAAAAGCAAGCAATTTTTTAAGAAAAGAACAAAGTTGGAGGACTGACTTTCCTTGATTTCAAAACCTACTATAAAGTTATAGTAATCAAGATAATTTGGTATTGGCAAAAAAAAGACATCTAGAACAACAGGACAGTACAGACAGTTCAGAGATAGACGAACACTTTGTCAACTGATCTTTTATACAGGTGCTAAGACAATTCAATGAGGAGAGGAAATCTTTTCAACAGTAGTACTGGGTCAACTGGACATCCATGTGGGGAAAATTGAACACTGATCCTTATCTCACTACTCACAAAAATTAATTCAAAATGGATGATCGATTCAATAATATAAACTTCTAGGTGAAAATCTTGGTGAGCTTGGACTAGGCAAAGGTTTCTTAGAAAAAGTAGGAACTATAAAAGAAAAAAAATAAGTTTGTTTTATCAAAATCAAAAATTTTGCTCTTCAAAAGACACCATTAAGTCAAAAAGGCAAACCACAGGCTGACCAAGAGGGTATGAACAATACGTTTATCAAAGATTTGTCTCCAGAATATACACATTTACAACTCAACCATATGAATTATATTATAGCCATACAATGGACTACTACCCGGCAATAAAAACAAACTGTGGCTACATGCATCAACATGGATGAATCTCAAAAGCCAGGCAAGAAAAAGAGTACACCCTGTATGATTCCGCTTACGTAAACTTCTAGAAAATGCAACAGAAAGCAGATCAGTAGTTGACTGGGAATAGGGATAAAAGGAGCAAGGAATTACAAAGAGATGCAAGGAAACTTTTGGAGGTGGTGGAAATGTTTATCTTGACTGTGGTGATGGTTTCATGGTGTATACACAATGCAACACTAATCAAATCATGCTCAATATGGGCAGCGTAGTGTCTCCACTTATACTTCAACAAAGTTGAAGAAATATTCTTGTTAACAGGGAGCTTATCAAGGTAGAATCCTACACATGGCCCTATCAGTGTATGATCTCCCATATTTATGATCTTAAGACTATTAGAAATTTTTGAGTCCATTTAAGTTTCCTCAAGGAACGGGTAGGAGCTAAGAATAGGGGAAGAAAGAAAAAGTCTGAACAATAGGGAGTCCTGAGTGGCGGGGACACTAGACTGAGAATGAGATCAGCTTTCTGACATTCAAGGTCATCAGAATTAGGGAGGTGATGAATGGGCTTTAGAGAGTTCTGTAAAAACTCAGTTATTGGGCCGGGCCGGTGGCACAGCAGTTAAGTGCGCACGTTCTGCTCCGGCGGCCCAGGGTTTGCTGGTTCAGATCCCGGTGCAGACATGGCACCGCTTGGCACCACTTGGCAAGCCATGCTGTGGTAGGCGTCCCACATATACAAACTAGAGGAAGATGGGCACGGATGTTAGCTCAGGGCCAGCCTTCCTCAGAAAAAAGAGGAGGATTGGCAGCAGTTAGCTCAGGGCTAATCTTCCTCAAAAAAAAAAAAACTCAGTTACCTGTGAATTTTTGTAGAAGCATACATTTGGGGGAAGAGGAGAAGGAACTTTGATGGTACGGTAATGGGCATAAAGAAGTCCATGCTCCCTAAACTTAAGAACTCCTTTACAATTATTCATTCAACTAATGGTCTTTGAGATTTCATTATGTGCTAGACATATGTCAGATGCTGGAGATGTTGAGCAGGACATTGGTTATCCTTGCCTTCATGAAGGGTCCAGTCTAATAGAGATAAACATTAAATTAAAAATTGCACACATATACATATTTTAAAATTACAATTGTGATGTTGCAAGAGGGTAGTGCAGAAGAATCTTGTCTAGTCAGGGAAGGATCCCCTGGAGGTCAGTTAAGGAACGCTTAAAGAGTGAATGGGGATATTGTCAAAGAAAGTGGGAACGGAAAGTTCCAGGCAGCATTTGTAAAGGACCAAATCTGGAAGGAGCCTGGTAGGTTGGTGGAACTGAGAGGCAGCCAGCAAGTTTGGGTCTGATGAGAAGACAACTGGCGGGAAGCTAGAGAGGTGAATGGAGGTCAGAGCATATGCAGTCCGATAGGCCTTGTTAAGGCTCTGGTCTACACCCCAGAGCAGCTGCAAACTCCAGGAGAGTTTGCACCAGTTTAAGATCAGAAGTCCTTTCCTCTGTGACCCAGAAGAGGATGTGGGCCATGCACTATCATGTTTAAGTAATAGAGATACCAATCCTGTGTTTCTGAGACCTGGTCTCCTCTGTTAATCAGGGTTTAATTTAGGGCTTCCAGAGTAATTGCTGCATTTGACATGAGTTCTGCCATGCAGTCAGAATGATGAGTAGTTCCCAAGCTTCCAGAGCCGTGTTAGAAATCCCAGGCTCTGGAGGGGCTGCTA